AATTATTTTTTCAAAAAAGGCAAAAATTAAAGATTAATAAAAGTTTTAGAAAAGGAAAAAAATTTTTTTATATATATAAGGTACCAAAAAAAAAGAAAAGAAGAAAAAAAAAAGTTCTTTGATTTTTTTTTTATTTTTTTGGGAGGGGTGGGAAGAATCCTGTATCTCCCTTTTGTCTGTAACCAGCCTCTTGTTGGAGTCTCTGGTCAACTTGAGGTCCTGTGGCTTGATTGGTTTCTTAAGTCAGTTTGTTCGAACAGGCAGATAAATGCTCTGCTTTACCCAGGATTTTGAGATCCCCCTCCCAGTTTAGTTTAATGGGAGGGTGATCTGCTTTGAGAATCACAAAAGAGGGGGATGCAGTGATGAGGCTAGGTTCTGGGTAGAGTTGAGGTCTTTCAACAAACAGTAGCTTTTCCCTGGGGCTATTTTGTGAAAAAAAAAAAAACTCACAGCACCCAGCCTGGAGCCATTCTCAGGGTTTCTCTTTTTCAATTGATTGTGGAGGCTGCTAGAGTGAGGGGCAGCCTCTGGCTCTGGTTACCCAGTGAGGAAAGCCACTCCAATGGCTGGTGCCTGAGCTGGGTGACTTTTCCCTGGATGGAGCTGAGTCTGGCAGATCACTTCGCCGTTAAGTTCTTGTGACCTGTTAAATGACTCGTTTTATTCCAAGGCCTGAATTGGAGCTAGCAGCTCCTCTGAGGTTTGTCGGTATCCAAGATTGAGATCACCGGTGCTGGGGGGGGAGGGGTGGCCTTCCCTCCTCTGCTCCCTGAGAAGGAGTGAGGACGTCGGGCTTCTACTCACGCCGAGTCTTGGATCCTGGGTCGTCTCTGGTCTGCAAACTGCAGGATGAAGATGTCCGCTCCTTGTCGGTTCTTGCTGGTGTTGAGTAGAATCCTCTCGCCCGCTGCGTCTGGCTCCTTCGTCCCGGACTCTCTGTGTGAGCGCTCAGGTATGGCCGCGGCTGCGACCCTGCCGCCGCCGCGGCGGCTGCTGGCAGGCGCTCAGATGTGTCTCCTTGTCTTGGCTTCCGCTCTCTTGTCTCTCTGTCCTGTGATGGCACACTTGGTGTGATTCTCTGGCTTAGGACTGTTCACTGGAACTCTAAAACTGCTTTCTATGCGAGAGCTTGTTCAGATTCCAGCTTCTCCTCCGCCATCTTCCCGGAACTCCAAATAGTTCATTTTTACATGATGCAATTAGCTATAATGACTACGTTTGCCCTCCTTCCCTCCATTTATCCTACCTTGCAAAATGTGTCTCCAATTCTTGATATTTATTTTGATAAACAATCAATTAATTGTTCAGAGGACTGAACACTTTTGGATTCCTCCTCTGAGTACACCATTATTTAGTTAATTTCTGTGTATATGTATATAGCCCTGTACATATTAACATGCATGGTTGTACTTTATACCTCGCTTCCACATGAAAGTCTTATCTCTAGTTAATCAGCCAAACACCAGAGTTGAAAGTGTGCCTCAAAGGGCAGAATGCCAGTCTTGAGAGAAAAAACTTAGCAAGTATGTCAAGCTCTAAGTTCAAGCCTCAGTAGGGGAAAAAAAATCCCTTTCTTTAAAACATTCAGTTATTCTAGTGCCCTGCCAGATTACTTTTGGTACATGTAGCTAAGATTAGAAACCTTACTACTTTGTATCACTTGAACATATTTCCCAGTCACATGTTGGGATATTGCACATGTGGTAGATGTGATATAAAACTGTATTAGACATCAAAATACATGCAGTAGACCTGTGCATCTCTTTCATATTTATCATACTTTAGTGTTGAAAAAGAAAGAGAAAGGACACTTTTAAGGACAATGTTCATGTTTACAGCCTTATTTCAGTGACAGTTGTATGGGTATTATGTGAATAGTCCTCAAGATTCAGACATTAAATGTAAGTTTTTGGTATATTCAAGAATTAAAAAAAATTAAATTAGAATGTAAAGATAAAACTGAAAAATAATCCAATCAGATCAGTAACATAAAAATTAAATATTTTACAATTCCCTTAAAGAAAATTTTCAATCAAACCCTCCCTGCTATTGATCTTAATTCCCATGGCATCCAGAACATAGTAGCATTGCTCTGCCCTGAGGCTTGTCCTCTAGCTCAGGCGTTGCATATTCTAGTAGGTTTGGGTGTAGTTGCAGGTGTGTGGAAGCATAATCACCCGACTAGGAGACTCTGATGTGCATATAAGTACATGGACTGGCTCTACTGAGATGCACTGTGAATCTTCCTTCATCTTTATCACCATTGGTGTATGTGGACACCAGAATCTCAAGGCCCTTCCTAGCCTACTGTCTGTACCACCTAAAATTCTGAGAACCACTGTCTGTACGAGTGTGGCCAAGTGAGGTGGTAGCTCCCTCTGGAACACTCAGAGATTTAGAACTCTGCTTCACCTCCTTCTGTTGATTACTCACCCCATGTAGAAAGACAGAGGTCACACAGTGGTTTGATAGTGGATGCTCCCCAAATCTAAATTAGCTTTACATGGGGGTAAGAACATTCATGTTTTTCCTCACAGGCCTGAGATAGACAACAATTCCAAAAACATTAAACTTCATGTTCTCAGCTCATGAGAAGTCACAGGATCACTAGTATGACACAAAAGACTTATATCATTCATTCCAAGGACCCAGATTGTAAATGTAAAGGGAAAGGAGTCTCATTCAGATGTAGTTATTATACTTTAGGAAACACAGTAGAAATCTGCTCTACCAATTAGAAAAAGAAGTTTTTTCTTTTTTAAAAAAAAAATCCTTGTTTCACCAACAAGCTTTTTTCCTTTTCTCTCACCTTCAGAAGTATGAAGGTTTCTTCTCTGAGACAATACTACCCTCTTATGATCACCCACTCATGTTCAAAGAAATAATCAATTTGCACTATTCTTGCGTTCCATTTTAAAAGGAACAATCCATCATCAGCTTAAATTAAAATGTATGAGACTTTTCTCCTAATCAGAAGGTTGTTTCTGTTTGCATCAATTTTTATATCAGAAGTTAGATCTTTTCTAAGTAAGAGCATTGATTTCCAAAAGCCTCATTTCTGCACTAACATTCATTCCTAATACTTCTATTGTAGAAATCTGGTGTGAATCTTGGGGTCAAGGAGCACTTTATATTGCAGAGCTCTTCTCTGTGTCACCTCAGGAAGTTCCATGTCATTCCTCATGTCCATTTATTAAAGAAATTTCCTATAATTAAGAATCTAATCAAAACAAAATGGCTTAAAATTTGGGTTAACCAACATGATTTCTACTCATAGTCTAAACAACATTTGTTTTTATTTCATATTCAATTTACAAAATAATGGATTTGTTCTCTTCTTCTATTCTTACTGGTTTAGAGGTAAAGACAATAACAAAAGATAGTGTTTGGATGTCATTTCCTTGGCTTCATGTAGATATTTGTCAAAATAAAGTCTATTGAAATTAAAAATGGGTTTGTTGTGACATTTTCATGAATTCACATAATGTATTTAATTCATTATCATTGCACCAGCTCTTACCTCCCTCCATTGCCTTTTCCTTACTAGTAGCTCCATTTCTACTCTTTTGTTTTTCTTTTATCTAGAATCCACATATGAGGGAAAATATGTAACACCTGTCTTTTTTAGTCTGGGTTATCTCATTTAACACAATTTTCTTCAGGTTCCTCAAGTTCTGAAAATGACATGATTTTATTTTGTCTATGCCTCAATGCTATAAAAGTGCTATATTTTCTTTATTCATTTGTTTATTGCTGAGCACCAAGGTCGATTGCACAGCTTAGTCAGTATGAATTGGGTAACAATAAACAGTGTGTTCAGGTTCATCTATTGTCTGCTTACTTTTATTCCTTTGGGCATATACCCAGGAGAAGAACAGCTTGATCATATGATATATCTATGTTCAGTTGTGTGAGGAATATTCACAGTGATTTCCATAGAAGTTGTATTACTTTATATTTCCACCAACAGTGCATAAGGGTTCCATTTCCCCTCAAATTCTCACCAGTATTTGTTGTTTTATGCTTTCTTTCATGGCTATTCTTAGTAGCATGTGATGGACTCTTACGTATTTTTGCTTTAAAGAATATGTTTTTACAAAACTGGGACTAATCTTGGAATTGTTCATTCAGTTTTCTACCAATGACACACCTTTTGGGAAGGGGACTTATTTAGGTTGATGCAGTAGGACTAGAGCTGACTCCAATGTCTGGTCTTTCAATATAACTACAAAACAAGAAGATTTCCTCACTTTAACCCCAAGACCAGGCCTGGATCAGAATTGTGGTACAGCTTCAAGTGGTTGGGGAACACTGAGCTGCATACCACAGAAGTAGGAAACTGATTCTGCAAAATGGGAGGCTGGGGTATTGAAATAACTGAAGCCCTTCTTATTTCTTAGCAGTATTTTAATATTTTTTGATTTTGTGTTTCTTCTGGTTACTAGAAATTAACTTCAAAGGCAGGAGAGTCTACCCAGGATACTGCAGACATTAATGGCAGTTGAAGGCTGTTCTGTCTTAAGAAGTGCTTTTGAGAATGGCAGGCATTCTTTCCTGGGTCCTCATGAACATAGGGCTCTGCTGAACATACACAGCTGCCCACCCCATTTAAATGGAAATCACACAGAGGAGAAGCATTAGGTTCCTTTTGACATGTTCTTTTTGAGTAGTGTCTCAAAATGAGCACAATAGCCTCACCATCCAATGTGAAATTCCACAATATAGAGGAGGTTACCATAATCTGCTTGTTTTATTGACTTCTGCAAAGCCACCTTCTCACAGCACAGCTGACACAGGATAGGATGAATGAGACTCCTAAAAGCTTCCACATCTTTCTCTCCATCAGACCAGTCTTCTTCAGTTCACTACTGAACAGCTAAGTATGGTGATGTCCATTTCTTGTTTCCTCTGACATTTGTGGAATTTTGGATCAGGAGGTAAGTGAAGGCACACACCTAAGACTGTGCTGAAACCACAACAATCTGAAGGGCAGATGTTCAGCTGCCAGACCTCTGCTGTCCCTGCTCGTGCTCAGCTCTCCCTATGGTTTCTGCCACTGTGTCACTTACAGCACAGTAGTTCACAGCCGAGTCTGACTCTAGGACTGCAGCTTTCTTCAAGTGGAAGGAGGTGTTTTCTCTGTCATATCTGGCTTCAAATCCTTTATAGCTTCCCTTCTCATTGGCTGTGATGGCTTTCAGGAGAAGCTGGAGACCATCTCCAGGATACTGGACATACCAGAAGAGATAAGTATACCCTGTTGCTGTATAAGTGCAGTCTATGGTCATGGAAGCCCCTTCCAACACAGATATGCGGTTTTCCTTCTGGGTCACCGATATTCCACAAGTCCTTCCTGGAGGAAAAAGAGATCTGTGTCAGTCTGGGAATAAAGTTCTTAGGTAAATTTTAGGTAAAGATTTGGTTGAGAGGCGGGGGGCAGAGGAAAAAAAGAAAAGAAAGATTTTGTTGAATTTGTAGTAGAAAGTGTCTAAATTTTAAAATTGATTTTACTTACCAACTATTAAGAATATTACTGTCATTAAGCCTGGAGACATTGCTTATAGTGTTAGGAAAATATGTTCTCTATTCTTCAGTGAAAGAAATGTTGAAAGTGATAGAGAAACAATGTATTTAAACCACTATCTCCACAGGAAATGAGCTTGTGTTAGGTAGCTGCTCCCCCTAGTGCACAGAGCCTGAACTAGAAACAATGTATTTAAACCACTATCTCCATAGGAAATAAGCTTGTGTTAGGTAGCTGCTCCCCCTAGTGCACAGGGCCTGAACTAGAAACAATGTATTTAAACCACCATCTCCACAGGAAATAAGCTTGTGTTAGGTAGCTGCTCCCCCTGGTGCACAGGACCTGAACTGAGGCCACTGTTCATGGTCTCCCAAAGTCAGATGTCCTCCTCCCTGACCTAAGCTATCAGTCATAAACCAGTCTTCAAGTATTCTCTGTTAATTTATAGGAAAAAAATGATGACTTCTAAAGTGTTTTATTTATTTCTTAGAGAAGAGCAACCCAGTGTGTGTAGCTGAAAAGACACCAATTGCCTTGGACACTTTAACCCAGGCCTTTCTTTCCTCATGTTTCTATTGTGGGCCACCCTAACCATTGTAATGTCATGGCAGTGTTATGTGCTGAAGTTACAGGAAGTGATAAGAGGCTATATTAGTACTGATTCTGTGTTTATAGCACTGTTTTTCCAAAACACAGAAAATGACTGAGATCCTAGGTGCCCAATGCATATTTGTTAAGTGAAACTAAAAATGAATACGTGGACTTTGGTTGAGGTATCACTACCAGTTCTTGAAATATGACATTTGCTGTTTTAGAATAATTTCAAATTCAATTTTTTAATTTAATGTTTTTTGTTAAGGTGATAAGCAGAGGTGTTACAGCTACATACTTAAAGTAATGAGTACATTTCTTGTCGAACATTGTTACTCCTTTTCTTGTTTTTCTTCTACTTTCCCTTCTCCCACTCCCTACCCCACAAGTTGTAAAATTCATTTCCAAGTTGTCTTGTATTGCTGTTGCATTGGTTTGCCTTTTTGTGTCACCATTTTGTTGTTCCCCCTTCCTTTCCCTAATTCAGATAAACATACATGCAATACACAGTGTGACATAATGAAATACAGTGACAACATGGGATACACCAGAGGGAAAAAATGAAAGGAAAAAGAAATAACTTCTCATAGTGCATTAAAACAATAGCAATAAAGAAAAACCTCTTGTTTCCCTATCTTGGAGTTCATTTAACTTAGCATCATCATATATGTTCACGTGTACACGATTGAGCTATTATGATTCTCTTCTAGGACTATCCTAGACATATACTAATTTTCAAATGATGGAAAAATCCCAATTCTGGAAATAAGGCCGCCAACTCAGAGCAAAGAGTCATTATTGGTTGCTCGGCAACTATACCCCAGTATTTGGGTTGTAAGGTGCAATGGCAGGCCCTTTTTCCCAGCAGAATTTTAAAGGGAAAAACCACATGCAGGTGGTGTTTGTCAAAGCAAGCAAGCAGATTTACAGAAGCAAAGCAAAGTCTTGAACTGCAGAACCAGAAGCAAATCGTAGCTTTGAGTAGAGGTAGTATAGTTTAAATCTCAAAACATTAGAAACTCATTCTCATGGTTAGTGGTGCACTGAATTTTTTTTTTACAGAAATGTTTTTTTTAATCATAAGTCCTGGCTGATAAAGCAACTCAGTACAGCTGGTGATAAACCTCAAGGTTGTTAGTGGTCTTCAGTAAAATTTGTGTAAAACTGCAAATTTGCCAATCTGGGAAACTTGAGTGAGGGAGCGATGTTCTTTTGCTTTTTATCGAATATAGAAAAGCCTTAGGCTGACTACTGGCCATATGACCTGGAGTTTCTCGCTACAGTGGGGTTCTGCCTTTAATATTTGGCCCTATTTCTGATAAGTAACAATTTTGTTTGGTCATTGATTTTACAATGAGGGAAACTGTGCAGCCTATGTTTCTTAGAGTCTGGCTTACTTCACTTAATATGATTTTTGTAAGTCTTTCCATTTCCATAAGAATGATACTTGTGTGTAAATAAGTGACCACAAAAGTGCTAAGGAATACTTTATTACATTAGTTAACAATTTAAATGTATTTGCATTATAATTTTATTGTCCATATAAAACCTACAGATGTAATAACTACATAATTTAAACATTAGTTCCTATTTTTTCATTTTCTGAATCTTTATTGTAAATTTAGTATTTGTTTCCTTCCAAAATTATTAAGACTGTTAATTAAACTGTATATGATATGTCAAAATTAAAAGGTTAGTTAGCAAAGCTCGCAAGTAATCTTTCCAAATAAGAATGAGTGATCTAATTGTCTCTAAAAGCTTTAAAATAGAAATAGAAATAGTCACATGGGAGTTGGGATTAAAATGTGCAAGTTCAAGCTCCTTTTGTTTGTCTAGTTTTCTTTTACCTGATCTCGTAGTTATGAACTGTGAATGTCAAAGAAATAAAAAATATCTGAATTGTTTTATCTAGAAAAATTTCTGAATACCAGAATGAGATCAAGACATAGAGTCAATCAAGCTAGAATGTTTTATTTATCCATGTGGGGACCACTTTCCATCATTTGGAGGACAAAAGAATGGCCCTGAAATCTAATAGCTCAGGGAATATGAAGGCATAAAACACAGAGGCCACTCACAGGTGGTCAGTGGTAATTTCGCTGTCAGAAAGAAAGCAAATTACAAAAGCAGAACTTGCAGTCTAGCAGTTAGTGATCATAAATGGTGATTACAATTCCAATAATCAATCAAGACAGAGTTATCATCCTTGATCTTCCCTTTGTTCTTCTAAAGGGAGATCCCACCTTTCAAGTTTGGCCTTATTCTTATTTATCAATAAAAGTAAAGGGTCAAGTTCCATGTTTTAGTATATTTGCTGAGCAAGCATAATCATAAAAGCAGACATTGGGTTATTGGTGGTTAACCTTTCAGACTGTTGACTTATTTTTACTTGCTCTGCAATTCTGGACAAATGTCAAGCTACAGATTTTTCCTTTTTCTGAAGTTTGCACTTATTGTTTTTAAGCCTTGGAACTTAATTATCCCAGTTAATTTTCCTTCTTCCTTAATCTAATTAATATCATATCTGCTTAATGTAACCTGGTCCTAACACTAATTATGCCAAAATTTAAATACCAAAATATAATGACATGGGAGCAAGAAAATCCACAGAGGCACAGTTAAAGAAGACAGAAGAGTTTTATTAGACAGTCTGCAACTGCCCTGTCCCAGGCGCAGCTGCACCTCCAAGGGGGTTAGTCCCCGCCTCGCTTTTTCCTCCTTCCTCCTTCCTACAAGCCTCCCCGCCCTCCACAGGCTTCTCTACTAGCCTGGGTGTCCTTGGGCCTCTCTGCCAGCCTGGTTCTCTGCTGACCCCTCGGCTCTGGACCGGCCTCTCAGTTCTTGGCAGGTCTCTTGGGTTTCCACAGGCATTTCGGCTCTCTGTTGGCCTCTTGGCTCTCCACTGGCTTCTCGGTGCTGCACAGGACTCTCTGCCCGCCTGGGTCTCCTCAGGCCTCTCTGCTCTTCACAGGCATCTCCATTTACACAGGCCTCTCTACCGGCCTTTCTGCTTTCCACAGACCTCTATGCAGGCATCTGTGCAGGCCTCTCGGCTCTCTGCAGGCCTATCCGCTGGCCCAGGTCTCCTCAGACCTCTCCATTGGCCTGGGCTCTCCTGCTTAGGCCTCTCCACAGGCCCGGGATCCTCAAGCTTTTCTGCTTTCCACAGGCTGCTGTGCTCTCCATAGGCCTCTCCACTATCCTCAGGCCTCTCGGCTCTGTGTAGGCCTCTCTGCTCTACTCGGGCCTCTCAGCCAGCCCATGATTTCCGCGAGTCTCTCCACCAGCCCCAGCTCTCCTCAGGCCTAAGAGCACAAGCTGTGCTCCACTCTGGGAGGTGTGTCTCTTGCAGCCTCTTGCAGGTTGTCTCTAAATATTAAAAAAATAAAACTATAAAAAATTGTTAAAAGTAAGTAAATAGTAAGTGAATAAGAAAAGTAAATAAATAAACAAAATAATTTAAAATTATAGGGATTTTTGTTTATTCGATTACTTTTTTGGTTAAAATATATGCTAGCAGAAAGTGACTTATAGCTACTCCTGAATATAACCATCGTTGAAAAGTGAAAGTCTGTCACCCAGACTGGAAAAATTTAAGCTATTGAATCCATATGGGATGGTTTGACATCAGTTACTTCTTACTCCACAATTTCACTGGCAAGACCAGGTGATCAGTTGTGGGAACCAGGCAGTGCCAGTTCTGTATGCTTTTCAAGGATGGCAGTGAAGCCAAGCGTTGATTCCTGGTGTTCAGTTTCCAAAGACTTAGAGAAAGAAGCTTATGATTCTAGAAGAAGATTGTAAATAGATTTAAGATTTAAGTAAGAAACATATGCCAGGATAGCTTTGGGTTTATATATTCCTTTTCCTCTCCTCTACCTTCCAAATCAAATTGTCCCAACATGACACAGAACTACAGAACAGAGAAAATGTGGAAAATCAGTCCTAGATTTTTCTGGGAGAATATAGAGCAGGTAGAGATGATGCTGAGTTATAAAAGTCAGTACAGCACACTTTGGATTTTACAGAATCAAGCATCTGCAGACGGATGCTTGAAAAGTCCATGTGATTTACACAGTATCACTGAATATTGCACTTATTTTAACCTGATTAAGGGGGTTAAGTTAAAGGCATGCATCTTTCTCCACAATTTAAAATAGTCTGTGAGTTTTCCTTTAGATTTTTTATCTTCTGCTTTCCCAATGTGGTGCTTACAATGAAAGGACAGACATCAATCAACTGCTATAATTCTTATTTTAGGACTTGAAAAGATGAGATTGGCACTGGAAGCAGGATTGTAGGGAATGAAGATTCTGGATTAAAGAGTAATGATAGAATTCAGCAGGCTATGTAAAATGCTTTTCATGTTATCATCAAATGCTCCTATAAGAGAAGTAAAGGACAAGGGCAGAGCAAGCAGATTGCATACTGTCTCATCAT